TAAACGTTGAGTAAAATTGTCCAAATATATCCGACGATTGACTGGTTTGGTGCTCAGATATTTGCTAGGCGAGGTGTGGGGTAATCAGACTAAGAGCCTCACAATTTCCCGTATCAGGGGGATAGGATGCTAGTTTAACCACACAGACAGTAGGCGTGCTGGTTAACCTACACACATAGACAACTTCTAGTTAACCTACCCACATACACAAGTGCTAGTTAACCTACCCACATAGACAAGTGCTGGTTAACCTACCCACATAGACAAGTACTGGTTAACCTACCCACATACACAAGTACTGGTTAACCTACCCACATAGACAAGTACTGGTTAACCTACCCACATACACAAGTACTGGTTAACCTATCCACATAGACAAGTGCTGGTTAACCTACCCACATAGACAAGTACTGGTTAACCTACCCACATACACAAGTACTGGTTAACCTATCCACATAGACAAGTGCTGGTTAACCTACCCACATAGACAAGTACTGGTTAACCTACCCATATACACAAGTACTGGTTAACCTACCCACATAGACAAGTGCTGGTTAACCTACCCACATAGACAAGTGCTGGTTAACCAACCCACATAGACAAGTGCTGGTTAACCTACCCACATAGACAAGTGCTGGTTAACCTACCCACATAGACAAGTGCTGGTTTCATCAGTGTGGTTGGACAAAGAGACAAAGAAGCATTCACTTACTGATAGACTTTAGACTTGGGAAAAACAAAGATAGATGGACTAAAGAAAACAAAGATAGATGGGCTAAAGAAAACAAAGATAGATGGCTAAAGAAAACAAAGATATATGGCTAAAGAAAACAAAGATAGATGGCTAAAGAAAACAAAGATAGATGGACTAAGGAAAACAAAGATAGATAGCTAAAGAAAACAAAGATAGATGGCTAAAGAAAACAAAGATAGATGGCTAAAGAAAACAAAGATAGATGGACTAAGGAAAACAAAGATAGATGGACTAAAGAAAACAAAGATAGATGGACTAAAGAAAACAAAGATAGATGGACTAAAGAAAACAAAGATAGGTAGACTAAAGAAAACAAAGATAGATGGACTAAGGAAAACAAAGATAGATGGACTAAGGAAAACAAAGATAGATGGGCTAAAGAAAACAAAGATAGATAGACTAAGGAAAACAAAGATAGATGGGCTAAAGAAAACAAAGATAGATAGACTAAAGAAAACAAAGATAGATCGACTAAGGAAAACAAAGATAAATGGACGAAAGAAAACAAAGATAGATGGGCTAAAGAAAACAAAGATAGATGGACTAAAGAAAACAAAGATAGATGGACTAAGGAAAACAAAGATAGATGGACTAAAGAAAACAAAGATAGATGGACTAAAGAAAACAAAGATAGATAGACTAAGGAAAACAAAGATAGATGGGCTAAGAAAAACAAAGATAAGTGGACTAAAGAAAACAAAGATAGATAGACTAAGGAAAACAAAGATAGATGGGCTAAAGAAAACAAAGATAAATAGACTAAGGAAAACAAAGATAAATGGACTAAAGAAAACAAAGATAGATGGGCTAAAGAAAACAAAGATAGATGGACTAAAGAAAACAAAGATAGATGGACTAAGGAAAACAAAGATAGATGGGCTAAAGAAAACAAAGATAGATCGACTAAAGAAAACAAAGATAAATGGACGAAAGAAAACAAAGATAGATGGGCTAAAGAAAACAAAGATAGATGGACTAAAGAAAACAAAGATAGATGGACTAAGGAAAACAAAGATAGATGGGCTAAAGAAAACAAAGATAGGTAGACTAAAGAAAACAAAGATAGATGGACTAAGGAAAACAAAGATAGATGGACTAAGGAAAACAAAGATAGATGGGCTAAAGAAAACAAAGATAGATAGACTAAGGAAAACAAAGATAGATGGGCTAAAGAAAACAAAGATAGATAGACTAAAGAAAACAAAGATAGATCGACTAAGGAAAACAAAGATAAATGGACGAAAGAAAACAAAGATAGATGGGCTAAAGAAAACAAAGATAGATGGACTAAAGAAAACAAAGATAGATGGACTAAGGAAAACAAAGATAGATGGGCTAAAGAAAACAAAGATAGGTATACTAAAGAAAACAAAGATAGATGGACTAAGGAAAACAAAGATAGATGGACTAAGGAAAACAAAGATAGATGGGCTAAAGAAAACAAAGATAGATAGACTAAAGAAAACAAAGATAGATGGGCTAAAGAAAACAAAGATAGATGGACTAAAGAAAACAAAGATAGATAGACTAAAGAAAACAAAGATAGATGGACTAAAGAAAACAAAGATAGATAGACTAAAGAAAACAAAGATAGATGGACTAAGGAAAACAAAGATAGATGGACTAAGGAAAACAAAGATAGATGGGCTAAAGAAAACAAAGATAGATAGACTAAGGAAAACAAAGATAGATGGGCTAAAGAAAACAAAGATAGATAGACTAAAGAAAACAAAGATAGATGGACTAAAGAAAACAAAGATAGATCGACTAAGGAAAACAAAGATAAATGGACGAAAGAAAACAAAGATAGATGGGCTAAAGAAAACAAAGATAGATGGACTAAAGAAAACAAAGATAGATGGACTAAGGAAAACAAAGATAGATGGGCTAAAGAAAACAAAGATAGGTAGACTAAAGAAAACAAAGATAGATGGGCTAAAGAAAACAAAGATAGATAGACTAAGGAAAACAAAGATAGATGGGCTAAAGAAAACAAAGATAGATAGACTAAAGAAAACAAAGATAGATAGACTAAAGAAAACAAAGATAGATGGACTAAGGAAAACAAAGATAGATGGGCTAAAGAAAACAAAGATAGAAAGACTAAGGAAAACAAAGATAGATAGACTAAGGAAAACAAAGATAGACAAAACGTACCACGACAAATAGAGAAACATGTAGATAGACAATCAAAGACAAACTGACCAACACAAGCAGAGATGTAAGTACAGACAAACATAGACAGACTAAAGCAGACAGATGAAGATACACTAACAAAGACAGATGAAGATACACTAACAAAGACAGATGAAGATACACTAACAAAATCAGATGAAGATACACTAACAAAATCAGATGAAGATACACTAACAAAATCAGATGAAGATACACTAACAAAATCAGATGAAGATACACTAACAAAATCAGATGAAGATACACTAACAAAATCAGATGAAGATACACTAACAAAGACAGATGAAACTACACTAACAAAATCAGATGAAGATACACTAACAAAATCAGATGAAGATACACTAACAAATTCAGATGAAGATACACTAACAAAGACAGATGAAGCTACACTAACAAAATCAGACGAAGATACACTAACAAAATCAGATGTAGATACACTAACGAAGACAGATGAAGACATGTAAAGTGATATAGAGACTGAGATAAGTACACTTAGAAAATCACAGACAAATACAGACCGAGGTAGACAAAGACAACATTCTAATTGTGTGTTGTTATTTTTTTAACAATGTGCAGAAACAAAATGTAAACAATGGACATAAACAAAATATGTAAACAAATGATATAAACAAAATATGTAAACAATGGACGTGTTCAAAAATATGTAAACAATTGACATGAAGAAAAATATGTAAACAATGGACATGAAGAAAATATGTAAACAATGGACGTGTGCAAAAATATGTAAACAATGGACATGAAGAAAAATATGTAAACAATGGACATGAAGAAAAAAATGTAAACAATGGACATGAAGAAAATATGTAAACAATGGACATGAAGAAAAATATGTAAACAATGGACATGAAGAAAAAAATGTAAACAATGGACATGAAGAAAATATGTAAACAATGGACATGAAGAAAATATGTAAACAATGGATATGAAAAAAAAAATGTAAACAATGGACATGAAGAAAAATATGTAGAGAAACATAAGCTGTAGCGTGTGAACTATATTGTAGGGATTTATAAGCTATATCTGACAAGGGTGCAAATACAACCGATGGTCATTAGTGCTACACAGCAAATAGTCTAAATCTGTACACATTGATAGTACACGTCAAGTACAGATTAAATCAGTACACACTTATACTACACATCATATACAGACTAAATCAGTACACACCCATACTACACATCAAATACAGACTAAATCAGTACACACCCATACTACACATCATAGTACAAACTAAATCAGTACACACCCATACTACACATCATAGTACAAACTAAATCAGTACACACCCATACTACACATCAAATACAGACTAAATCAGTACACACCCATACTACACATCATAGTACAAACTAAATCAGTACACACCCATACTACACATCAAATACAGACTAAATCAGTACACACCCATACTACACATCATGTACAGACTAAATCAGTACACACTAATACTATACATCAAGTAAAGACTAAATCAGTACACACTCATACTACACATCATAGTACAGACTAAATCAGTACACACTCATACTACACAAAACACAATAAAAATACATAAACACCCCTAGCACATCGCAAATACCGTATAAATCAATACACACTACTAAACAACACAGGCTAGAAATGAAGAGTTAAGTAGACATAAAAGAAAAGATTAAACAACCGCTGTGTCGTTGAACACACTGACGTGCTGAACACACTGGCGTGCTGAACACAGTGACGTGCTGAACACAGCTGGCCATATAAAGATTTGCTCGCTTATGTGTATGTGTAGCTACTCGCTATGTGACACATGGCTATGTGACACATACACGTATCACATTCTAAGATTTGAACATATTAGCGGTATTTTTCTTATCCCAACAATGGCGTCTGTCAAATTAGCACGTGAGATTTAGAAAATGTATGTGTACTGACATTCTAATATATTGGCCTATGACACGGAGACTATGTTATAGTATTTTATTGTATAAACACACATATAACAACATGGATAAAGAAGCACATATTAGTTATTTCAACATAGGGTACTCACCTCCGTGTTATAGATCACCGCCAGGGTGGGGGAGACTTGCTGATGACTGGTCACTTGTAACACGTCGTTCCCTACCCTCACAGTTCTAGTCGTCTACCCACATAACCACACAGCCCCACTACACAGCAGTGTTAAATCCAGAAAATTCCGCAGATCTTTGAAGAAAAACAGAAATCCACTTTGGTGTGACAGCAACAACACATATCCTCGAATATCACCGCTGAACACAGACAGCAGACGCTGTGTTGGAGATAGCTAAACCCCTACTCAGATCGCAGGACTAACCACTCATGCTTTCATACACAGCGTGAGTAGTTCGCACGTGCGTTACTGAGTGTGTAGCATTCACGTGCTAGGTATCGCTGTGTTAGTAGTACACACTAAGCGATCATATTTTGGTAACTTTCTCTCAAACGTTGCCATATTTTTTATTTCCTGCTCGATCGCAGCGAGACACGGCGGTGCCCCAGTTTCCAGCGCGCCTGCGCTAGCCGGATCGCACGAGGGAGGGACCCAGCGTATGGAGGGATCTAGAATATAAGGGAGGTACCCAGCGCGCGAGCACTCGAATTAGAAGATATGTGAAGGGAGGACAGGTAGAGAGACGTAATTGATCTTAATGAATGGATCGCAATAGATGAGATCTATCGCGATTGGCTTGGTCAGGTCGATATTTCGATAAATCACCCGCAAAGATTTTCTAATCAGTGGATAGGCAACACCACTAGTCGTCATATTCATGTCCACTTGAGCATCTCTGGGGGTCAAGAATCTGTTTACATAGGCAAGGTCTACCAGTGGTCAAGATTCTGTCTACATGATCAGCTAGGTGTCAAGATTCTGTCTACATGATCAGCTAGGTGTCAAGATTCTGTCTACAAGTTCCTCTAGGTGTCAAGATTCTGTCTACATGATCAGCTGGGTGTTAAGATTCTGTCTATATGATCAGCTAGGTGTCAAGATTCTGTCTACATGATCAGCTAGGTGTCAAGATTCTGTCTATATGATCAGCTAGGTGTCAAGATTCTGTCTACAATGTCCATTTGGTAACAAGATTCTGTCTACAATGTCCACTAGGTAACAAGAATCTGTCTACATGACCAGCTAGGTGTCAAGATTCTGTCTACATGATCAGCTAGGTGTCAAGATTATGTGTACACGAATTAGCACGTAACACCCTACGTCATCAGCCAGTCCAATTCCATCAGTTGCTGGTGAGTTAAGAATCTAAAATTGTGTGAGCAACATCCAGACTCCCCTAGTCAAGTCAAGGTTCACGTGAGACTAAGCTGATTACAGTTTCTTGCCAAGTCTAATGAGTTAGCCCAACTTTGTACTTGTACATTCGCTCTAAGCTTAATCCCAGCTACTGTAGAGGTACCATAGGTACCACCAACCTAAAGCCCCCGAAGCTAGAGCTACTAGTTACTATAGCTGGGGGCCGCTGTTGAAGATACACCTGAAAACTGAGGAAGGGGGAGGGGGGGTGGTTCACCTCCTCCCCTCTCCCAGTACCACCCCCCCCCCCCTCAGTACCAGGCAGCACGGTTTCAAGACAAGCGAACACCTGACTCTGGCTGTTGACGATGATACCCAGTGGGTCTAAGAATACCCCAAGCTGAAAACCATCCCTCATAAAAGTTCCATAACTCCTAGACTAGGAAGTGACGACTCTGACGGTTATGGTTCTTGGCTGCCTTGAATTAGAACATTAAATTTAGCAGAAGGTTTGAAACAGCCATTTAAAAAAACAACAACTGTTTATTTCTAAGCCATGATTTTTTAAAAGATCCATATTCTAGTGTTAAATATTTTATTTATTTCTAAGAGTAAGCGTCTACGTATTGGTTACTAGGACACTGACAAAAGAATCAACAGGATGTTGGCCAAAAACTTATACACATTGTTGGCCAAACAATTTTACATAAATTATTAAATAGGCTGTCTTATACACATTGTTGGCCAAAAAAATATTAACCAGACTATCTTATAAAAAAAGTGTTGGCCAAATAATTCTACATAAAATATTAACCGGACTATCTTATAAAAAAGTATTGGCCAAATAATTTTAAATAAAATATTAACCGGATTATCTTATAAAAATTGTTGGCCAAAACACCCAAGTAAAAGGCAGGCTAGCAATCAGTTTGACAAACACACGAAATTGTTGGCTAAAACACTCGGCCAAACAATATTGCACAGAGATTTGGCTCTAAATACCCAAACAGCAACACCAAGCTAATTCGAAGAGATGCCTGGAAGAAACTCTGCGTGGAATCAGACGTAGATACAGGCGTAACTGATCAACACAGTCCGGCATGACGGAGTTATTTTATCGATCAAGCGTTCCCTCCTTCATAATCATCGCGTGCAACAAACTACCCATGGCTCGTCACAAAACTCACGGTCACTCCCCCCCCCCCCCAACTTAACAAACAAACGCTCGATCACCACCCACTCACAGACAAACTGCAACCCCCCAACTGACCAAAGTTTCGATCACCCCCACCTCCTTCCTCACAGATAAAACTGCCACCCCCTCACCAGAAAAATCACCGACTCCCTAACCTAACAAACTCCCCGTTAGACCCAACTAGCCACCCAGCAACCTAATTAAAAACATCCATATTTCAAACACCATGCCTCCCCTCCCCCAGAAAATCAGGCATGTATTTTTTACCGAGCATCCAAAGAACGGCGTGTAGCACCGAGCATCCAAAGAACGGCGTGTAGCACCGAGCATCCAAAGAACGGCGTGTAGCACATTCTGCTACTCAGACACCCATGTAAAACCCAAACAATCATGTGGCTGGACAGAGCCTAGATGACGTCATTATGATTGTGACGTAGCATGAAATTGCCGTCAGCCGGGGGGATCACGTAGCCTATCATGTCACCAGACCGTGTGACATCCCATTATGACGTCAGCTCTCTGGCCTAAAATCACCAAAACATTTTATTTTCAAATTAAAAAATCCAATGCTTGTACAAACTCGGTGTAGTTAGGGAAAAGGTGACATTTTTTTTACGAATTTGTAAACAATACAACTCAGTATACAATGGATTCGTATCGTAATTACGTGCGTCCTTAGTTACATATCTAGTTACACACTAAATAGTGATGTAGTTATGGACATAGATGATAAACATCGATAACTAGCTACTGTTCGAGAATTGGGATTGATGTATTGGAAAAGATCCACAAGCTAAAAATAGCCATTTCCCATGAAATTGACTTAATGGATTGTATAACTTGATAATTTAGTTACTCTAATCGCTAAATTTTGAATAACCAATGCACGGTGTTAACACAATCACGTGATGACAACAAGGAAGTCGTGGTAAGCAGACGTCGGACCTACATACGTTAAATTAGGTTTGAAAAATGGCGGGCTAATGCACATTAACCGAACCGGCAAATTGATTAATGATTTCTGGTGATTGGCTCAAGCTCTCTGAGATCCAGTCCACGAAAATTCAGGAAGTTAAGTCGTAATGTTGCTTATCTTGATTGGTCAAGATGTGTCATAGGTTTGTGTCACAGGTTTTGTCACAGGTTTGTGTCGCAGGTTTGTGTCGCAGGTTTGTGTCGCAGGTTTGTGTCGCAGGTTTGTGTCACAGGTTTGTGTCACAGGTTTGTGTCACAGGTTTGTGTCACAGGTTTGTATCACAGGTTTGTGTCACAGGTTTGTGTCACAGGTTTGTGTCACAGGTTTGTGTCACAGGTTTGTATCGCAGGTTTGTGTCATAGGTTTGTGTCATAGGTTTGTGTCACAGGTTTGTGTCATAGGTTTGTGTCACAGGTTTGTGTTGTGTCACAGGTTTGTGTCACAGGTTTGTGTCACAGGTTTGTGCAGTGCTTGGTTTAGAAAAGCTTTTTACAACTTCGTACAATTTAACCATGCGTCTCACACTTCGTACAATTTAACCATGTGTCTCACACTTCGTACGATTTAACCATGTGTCTCACACTTCGTACAATTTAACCATGTGTCTCACACTTCGTACGATTTAACCATGTGTTACATTTCGTACGATTTGACAATCTGTCTCACACTACGAACAATTTAACCTCGTGTCTCACATGTCGTACGATTTGACAATCTGCCTCACACTTCGTACGATTTAACCATGTGTCTCACACTTCGTACGATCTAACCATCTGTCTCAGACTTCGTACGATTTGACCATCTGTCTCAGAGTTGTACGATTTGACCGTCTTTGACTTTGCACGATCTGACAATCTGTCTCAGACTTCGAACAATGAATTTCCATCTGCATTTTGTCGTTCTACTCTCCCCTACCAATCTAGACTGTAAACAAAATATGAATCCACATTTTACAAGATTCGGTTCAACCAATGTAAAAGCAATACAGAAAAAAACCCAGCAATAAATAAAATAAATTTACACGTGATGTTGACCCAAAATGTCCGTGTCAGAGATCATTACCCAGGCCATTAGAGCGAGACGAGAATTGCACCATTTAGTTTTGGCCACCAAAAATGAATTCCCATTAAAATAATTTTTATGAAAGGGTCTTTCCTATGATTTGTAAATGGGGTAATTCCCCTCCCCACTCCCCCCTCCCACCGTACCACTGTGCGCTAACGTGTTCAGTTAAATGTGAAAATATCACGTGACTCCCAAGGCAATCTTCAGCCAGCACAAATGTGATAGATTATAGAAATTCCATCTATTTTCACGGCGCTGAGCTAGCAACACATTTAATCTTGAAAAAAATTAGATGTATGTTAACATGACTTTATTAATACAATTAACATAATTAGTTGTGTGCGTTGTTGTGACGATGCCTATACAAAGTGTGTGGGAAGAACGTGTTAAGGCCATAGTGTTACTCTAATAAGTGACCAAAGACCGCCGCACGGTAGGAGTTTACTTAGCTGTTTAGTTGGTAGTTTTTTTTTGTTTTTTTTTTATTTTTATTTTTTATTTTTTTATTTTTTTATTTTTTTAAATACTTTTATTTGCAATTAAAACAAGTACATCAACATCAAATTTTTTAACATAATGTTGAACACCAAATGAAAACGAAAGGTTTTGCAAATGTACATAATGAATATTTACATGATGTCATGTATTTGATTATAAAAAAATTGCAAAGGATGACAGTAAAAGGGGTGAAGGTCAAATGAAAGTGTCAGAAGTCTGGGTGGGGAGAGGAAAGGAAATTTTTCAGAGAGGGTCAATGGGACAGTGGATCATTTTCTGTGTAGGGAAACAACTTAAGTTGACTAGTTGAAAGGGTGTTGTAGTGGTCGCATTGAGTTTTCAAAAGGTTGCAGTGTGAAAGATGAGGGTAAAGAGACAAGATTTAGAACTTTAAATTTATATTTTATTTATTTATTTATTTATTTTTTTATTTTTTTTTTATTTTTTTTTATTTTTATTTTTTTTAATACTTTTATTTGCA